AGCTGGTCGGCTCTGTTGTGATTGGTCAACCTCTGAGAGATGTCCCGCCCTTTAGCTAACACGTACAATGTGTTGGAGCACGAGTGTTACATAGTGATGTCATTATTTAACACTTGAAGAATGTAAGATGTGTTACTCTGTAGAAAATGAAATAAGCGGCAAGCCTCCTGTTTTGTGCAGTAAAACAACAATGCAGGAAGTGTGCCCTTCCCTCACAGATAGTATCATGTGTGTTGAACACTCGCTCTGTTGTTGGTTGCAGTGGGTTCTCTAACTCCTCCATGGAGAACATCTCCTCCAACTTCAGCATGGAGTGTGGCACCTATGAGCAGCTGGGCTACTGGCCCAATAACTTTGATGACTTTGGTGTGAGTAACAACAACAGTTAGACTTTTATTGTCCTATGTAGTTCCAGTAGCTTCTGTGTGTTTTGTGTGTTAAAGTATTATTAACCCCTTTTCCTTTGATGATGATCAGTTACCACTGTCAATGATGGTGTACAGCTACTTTTGTGAACCTGGTTTACAGTTGCGCACTGTTGCTTGAATATACCCAAAAGAAAAGTGATAAAAGAGAATCATTTCCATCTCTCAGGCGTCCATCATGTTGCTCTATGATGTCATGATAGTCAACAACTGGCAGGCCTTCATGGATGCATACAGCAGATACACCACTGAGTAAGAAACCCACATTTCACATGCACAACAGTTGCTGGTGTTGATCCTGATGATCACGTTTTGTTTTTCCCAGGTGGTCAAAGATCTACTTTGTGTCTTGGTGGCTCACCTCCTCGGTCATGTGGGTCAACCTGTTTGTCGCGCTCATCTTAGAGGTCAGTTCCCTCAGACATCACAGACACTCATTCATTACATTTAGCTAACAGTTTAACCAAAGCAACTTACAATAAGTACATTCAACGACAAAGATACAAACTTCCTGCTTCAGCTTTCAATAAGCCAGCAATTGCTACTGCATTGGCTTAAAATGTGCGTGGTTATCACACAACAACGTGCACACACATTAAACATTCTAACAGCACAAATACTCTGTTCCTTGTTTTCTGACAGAACTTCATCTATAAATGGGACCGCAGTCACAGCTGCTCTGTTACAGATGTGGAGAGGATCAGATATGAAACATCTGTTCAACTCATGTTCAGGTAGGTTCACTCTACTGTTTTGTTGTAATTCATATACCGGTAATTACAAATCTATCTGTCAAACCACAGCTAACTTTTTGTCCAATCCTTCTTCTGTTGTCCATAACTTACCCCTGTTTCTCTGCAGAGAGCAGATCCAGGAGCCCACTGAAGAGGAGTTAATATGCCAACTACACCAACACCCTCACCTACACCTGCACTGGTGACACACACACAGCACCATCACCCGCGAGACTGCTACTAAATGTGTCTATTGTGTGGTCGAAGCACTGAAAGGTCAAAATCACAGTATACAACAAATGTTTGTTCATTTTTTATTATTTTTACAAGTAATTACTGCTGCTGCAAAAAGCACATGTTCTTCTTTTGTGTCATGTTATTTATAAACCACTGCCAATGAGAAGTCTCTGGGTGTTTCTCAATGTCGAGGAAGGCTGCTCCAGAGCCACTATTTCAAGGCGCTCCATTTAAGGCGGGGCCTCTCATATGACGCACACCTGCACACCTGTTAGCCTGTTCCACCATTCTTCGTTTTCGGAGGCTAGGAAGGATTCTTGCCTCGCTTCTGAAGCAAGTGACAGTACATGTGCTACCATGCAAGCCTCCTCAACATTGATAAACACCCCCTCTGTACAACTGAAACTGCTTGCAGAGAAGACGTCCTGTCATTAGTCTAGCCGAAAATTAGTGGGTGGGGCTAAATATTCCCAGGTTGTGTGCGAATTCCATAGTATTCAATAATAAATACTATAAAGTATTTTCCCAGGGCTTAATAATACAGCATTGATAATGACAAAATAATGAAGCCAGAACATTTATTGAGAGGCGTGCATGTGTATTCTGGGTAATGATGGAGGCTGCATGTCTACTTCTAAATACTTTGCAGAGGGGTATTTTATGTAACATATTTAGATGTGTTTTAAACTGGAATCCTGAATTTTTTTTATTCTAGAAAGGACGCAGTTCTAGCAAGAAAACAACAGGGATTTCCTTTTTTTATTTAAAGCGATTTGTATAGAGAAGTTGGAATGCCATTTTATTATATTTGTATTAAGTTGAGATACAGTTTGTACAATACAACTCTTTATACAAGATTGACAAATAGATTTTAAATAAATATTTTGAAGACTTCATTTTGTATTTTATGGTTTTTTCACACATTACTTGGGGGCATTACCTTTCTTTCAGTTTAAAATTAGCCTGTTAGCAGTTTTCTTGTATGCATGGTTTTGATGGCATGGTTGCACCATCAGCCACTACATAGGACCCTATTGCATTATCCCATACACTGCCACTCAGTGGAAAGTCAGTGCAAGTTCATGATACATGTCTCTAAAGTCTAAACCAAGATGGACGACAGAAAGCCAGAGGCACCGAATCACTCCATCCATGAATCACTCGTCGATATCTTGCCAATCCTTCGATGGAAAGCGTCCACTGCAGGTATAACTATGTTGGTGACATCAAGTAACAACAAAGGAAACATATAATTCATAAATTGTCAAAGTATTGATTTTATGTTTGAAGGAAATTATGATTAATCACCTGTCCACTAAAGTGGACGTCATGCATCACTGGCTATATTTCAACTGCAATTCATACTGTTACTGCTGCTGTTGTTCTTGAAAATACTTCATTTGCAATATCTTTTTGGGCCATAAATCAATATACTTATGTTATTATAATGTAATTTTAAGTTTGCACATCTTTGTTTATGATTTTTTCCAAATGTACATGTCTTCAGTTAAACTTTAACCCATACTGTCCACCTGAGTGGACATATAAAACATTTTTTTTCTAAATTTGAAAAAAGAAACTAAAGTTAAAATCTTGTTTTTCATGCCCCAAGAGCAACAAAAACACCTAGTAAAAAAAATCCTGACTGAGGTTTTCATAATTCATGCATGAAAGGGTTAATTTATTCACAGCACAGTGTTGTATGTGCACTTTATATAGACATATATGCTATAAAGGCCACCATGATTGATTTCAGACAGTGTTGTGACAAAATATGAAATTACACAGGCAAGAAATGTAAATTCATCTTTCACAGCAAGGGTTTTTAAACAGTAGCTCAGGCTTCCCCCCCAAAAGATGATCAAAAGGCTGGATTAGAAAGGTAATGTAATGCGTTGTTCTGACTGAAGAGGGCAACATTCCCCCACTGCGGTCAGTCTGCCGCTAACTGCAGAAGAAGAAGAAATCCGGAAGTGAGCTCGTGTTGTAAACAAAACACATGTGAAGAGTTGTTCTGCTGTCAGAAAGAGCCGGCGTTTGCATTTGTAATTGCTACGGTATTCTTCAGGAAGTCCGCGAAAACGAGGGAATGGAAGGTGAGTTTAAGCAGTCAAAGGGTGATGAACATCACCCGTAAACACAACATTCTTCAAGGTTGGTTTAAAACCCACCATGTGTCCCTTCCGTTTATTTCATCCTAATGTCTGTGTAGGGATGCTAAATACCCATTGGGAGAAGTATTCAGCCAAAAATAAAAGTAGCAATACAGTGTAGATATTGTTACAAATAAAAAGGATGTACTAAAAGTAGAAATACAAAAACGACAAAATACAATACACGTAACATTCTTTCAGAAGGCAGCTCGTGCTGCTATTGTTGATACTAGCTCAAATACATATCTCTCTGGCTCATGTCACTGAACAGTCTTAATGAATGCTGTTATTTCCACCTGTGCTGTTGCTGCTTTGACCAATCAAAATGCCTCTCGTGAGAAAGGGCTAATGTGTCATCCTTCACTTCATATAATGATGCAAACCAAGGGCGTTTCCTGGACCTGGAAACATTCGGGGCTTAGCCCACAGTGACAGCACTAGAGATTTTCTTTTGGGGGTGCTGTGGGGTAGCGTGCTCGCTACAGTGGAATTTGCTACTGCAACACTCCCCACACGCACACACGGTGCACCCGCGACTGTTACAATGAAGGCTCGATAATCAGCTCACGGCATATACTGTAGGTGTAAGCAGGGCCGTCCCTGGCTAATATGAGGCCCTCTGTTTCGCGAGCGTCGAAGGGGGGAGGGGGCGGTTGCTACTGGAGCCTCGCAGCGACGAAACTCTACCGCGCCACACTAATTGTGCCGCATAGGTTGAGGCCCCCTCCGCAAGGTGAGGCCCCACGCAGTCTGTGTGATCGGCCTGTAGGCAGGGACGGCCCTGGGTGTAAGCAGGGGTGAAGTGCTATTTTTATAAGTGGGGAGTGGACCTAACATCCTCTAGGGGGGTCCAATAAGGAAAACCAATAAAGTAAATATGAACAGGTGGTAAAATAAACAAACTACGATAAGAAAGAATATAGATTGATTGATTTGGGTATAAGGGAATTTGGTCAACTTCAATTGCATTGCTGATATAATAAAACCTTTAGTGTTTCCAAAGTTACGATTTGAAATCAGGAACTGTGGGATCAATCAGAATGAGACTGAAAATACACATTTCAGGCGGAACCAAACATTGAGCTTAGACACCGTGGCTGATGAGCTTTCAGCGTTGGAAAACAGAACTGTCTCTGTACTTTCTGCAGCAGCCAGTCGAGCAGGTCTGTCTCTGTGCCCACTGTCACTCTCCTACATAGCTTTTCTTTTCTATCTTTAACTCAGGGTCCCAGGAGCAACGCTGTCAGTCAGAGGACTTGAAATATGCAACTGTAGCTCTCTTATGTAAAGTTATCTCAACCTCATTCTTCAGTGTGAAACTCCCAGGCTTTATCAAGGCTCAAGGTTCTCTGGAAAACTTCATATGTTATATATAGCTTTCCTATCCAGAATAATCCTATGATTGGGTATTTTGATTGTAAATTACAACCAGATATGTAATGTGAATAGACCAACAAAAAAATAGAATAACCCCACAACAGCCTACAGATGGATTTGAGTTAATGTATGACTTTTTATAGGGCAGCAGTAGGAATAGAAGCTCCTTGAGGCTAGCTGCTGGGGTTCACACCGGCCCAGCAACCCCTCCTGTGTTCTGGTCCAGAAGCTCAGGGAGTCCATCAGCTTTGGTGTAACACTGGATGTGTTTGTTCTGTTCAACAGAAGCTCTTGTTCGAGCCACCATCCCTCAGGATCTGGAGAAGCTTCTCGGTGTGGAGGTAAGCAGAGACCTACTGAGGACACGATGTGCTGCACAGTGATCCCTTTCCAGTCAGGCTGTGCACAGTCTTCCTGCAGATAATAACGGGACATGAGAAATCATTTGTCTATGAATCAACATGTGCAGATATTTTGAAAACCACCAAAAACATGTTGGTTCACCCTTATCAAAAAAGGAGGATTTGATGCCTTCAAATTAGAATACAATAATATTATTACATGCATCTTTTTTTCTGGATTTCTTTCTGGAATTTGTATGTGTCTATATTCAATCATGTTGTCTCAAAAATATATATATATATCTTATTTTCTACATTGATGTTTAAAATATTGTTTATATCTGTTTTTGATTCGTAGGTACTTTTTTTATTTGAACTGGGAAAAAGCACAGCAATGCGACACAACAGATTCAGAAAGAAACTAGAGTTTACTCCTAAAATGTTGATATATTTGGACACTCATATTTTGAAATGTATTGCTGAAAATGATTAGTGGAAAAATAAAGGAATGTCATCTTATATATTGATCTATTTATTGTTCACTCTTAGTTATTCCCTAGTATTATGATGTCATAAATATCATCAGACATGCTCTACTACACTTTCTTTCACACATTTGAACATGCTATACAAGCCTGGACTTTTTGTCCTGTTTTAATAATAAGTCCAGCTCTCTGTAAATATCTCTGTCTCATTTCCAGTCTCGACCCCACCCTAAAGCCTTCACTGATGCCTTCCTGAAGAACAGCCTCCCGCATACCACACGCTGCGATGTGAACAACCTGCTGACCCACAAGGCTCTGATCCTGGGCTACAGCAGGCCCAAGAAGGACAAGAGAAAGAGCAAGAAACCCAAGGGACTAAACGCCCGGCAGAAGAGGGCCATGAAGGTCTTCCAGCTCAAACCTGAGCACCAGAGGTGGGGGAGGAAAGTGGAGGTTGGGACGGGTATTGGGAGGAAATGTGTTTGGAATATTAACACATCATTGTTCTTGAATGTGATAGATTTCCCATTAAGTTGGTTGCTGTGGTGTTTAAAGGTCCCATGTCATGGCCATTTCTACTGATCATAATTCCATTGTTGAGGTATACTAGAATAGATTTACATTGTTCAATGTTCCAAACTCACATTGGTTTCTCATACAGCATCTCTGTATAGTATGTGTATTCACTCTCTGTCCTACACGGCTTGTTGGAACTCCTGCCCCCCCCCTCCCTATGAGCCCACTGTGCTCTGATTGGTCAGCTCGCCCACTCTGTTCTGATGAGTCTACCACCGTTACAGCTGGACATCAGTGATTATGTGTTACAATGGCATTAGCAACCAGAAAATGACACCAGTATGGACAAACAGAAGAGAANAATTTTAGTTGAACAATGCCGACAAACAGCTTTGGTTCGGTCCACCTGCCTTTGTCCATCATCCTTGTACGTAACTGCAAAACCAAAATGTTCCCAAACCGGAGACTTCAATGATGCTGGAGGATTTTCGAGCTCAACTTTATCTGCGTTCGCCATTTCCTCAAATTACTGACTACATTTGAACGCATCCCTGTGACCAGCTCTCATAGTATGCCTCTCGTCCAATGAAATGACTTGCTCGCTCAATGACGCGTTGAACGCAATGTGAGCAAATTACTCTGAATGCTGCGACCCAGCACCTGAGATTACTTCCAAAAAGTTGTTCACGTTCTCAATTTTTTACGTTTAACGTTATATTAGTTCGGTACACATGTGTACCGAACCGAAGGGCCCGTACCGAATAATTTCGCCCGTACCGAATAATTTCGGTACGGGTACGTATACCGTTACACCCCTAGTTCTCAGGCTGAGTTCTGCAGTGTCTCGCTGTCCCGCAGACCCCAAGCAGCAACCAGGAAACGAAACCAGTAACCCAGCTCACAGTGTCCGCTCCTCGAGCCTCAAAGGGCGGAGCAGCGAGCCTCGCAACGTCCCGCCAAAACGGCACCCAGACCCCACGCAGCATTCTCTTCTGTTTGTCCATACTGGNATTCACTCAAATAAATACAAAATATAATAAAATAAACATTAAGGTGCAGCGCTTAGGTACTAGTACAGTTCAAATACAGATTATTTCAGTTCATGGAAATGCTGCACCTTAATGTTTATTTTATTATATTTTGTATTTATTTGAGTGAATACATTATTCACAGTTTAATAATAATAATAATAAAAAAACAAGAAATATTTAATGTTTTGTGATAATTTTTTCTGCTGTACCGAAAACGTACCGAACCGAATCTTGACCTAAAAACCGAGGTACGAACCGAAATGTTTGTGAACCGTTACACCACTACTGAGCACACAGGCCGAGATCCGCGGAGCCGCAACTGAGAAAAGATAAGGCTGAGTAAGTGTGTGTGTGTGAGGAGCTCCGCGGATTGGTCCATTTGGACCTGGGCATGGTCACGTCACGATACTCGGGAAGAAAAAAAAGAAAAGAGAAATCTCCAACGAGGCGTTCTGGGGCAGCATAGACAGGTATTTTCTGTGTTAGAGTTTTACTCGCTACAGGGTGTACTTTGAGGGTTTGTGACTCTGCAGACCGTTTACATGCAGAAAAAGCTACGTAACACACAAGGGGACGGGTAATAACCGGAGAAGCGTGACATGGAAACTTTAAGTCCATTCAATAAAAAACTCCTTAGTTGGAGTTGTGGTTTCTATTTGCAAAAAAATTTCAACATTACACTTCCTATTTATTTTACGATTCAGGGGGCATTATACAGACAAGAACAATCGACATAAACTGCATCCATCACAAAAATAACAATAAGAGCTTGTGGAAAAAAGACTTCCCCGCCTCCCCGTTCTAACCATCATCACCTGTCCCCATTGTTCTGCTCTTTATGGACACACATATCATATCCTTACATAATTATCTTAATATAATCTAAAACCAAAGACAAATAATCAAACAATCTGAATAACATTAAAGTAAAAATGTCTCTAAAATCCCTGTCTTCATCCTTGTCCTGTAGATACGAGCTCTTCATGCCTCTGCATGACCTCTGGAGACAGTACGTTATCGACCTGTGCAGCGGGCTGAAGCCAACAAGGTAAAGCACTTTGGATTGTAACATATCAACTCGACCAATCCCACTAAACTGCACATGAGAAATTTGCAGAAGTCCTTTGATTCCCTGTGTGCACCGTCTCATGTGTGATGCTGTGTTTTTACAGCAATCCACAGTTTGTGCAGCAGAAGCTCCTGAAGGCTGACTTCCACGGTGCCATCGTCACAGGTAGAGTTTCAGCTCTCTCTCATTTCAACATCACTGTGAGATAGGGCTGCTCAATCAATCGTATTTTAATCGCAATTACGATTTTGTCTTGCAACCATTATGAAAACAATATAATCGAAATAAACGATTATTTAAAAAAATGTATTTCTTTATTTTATTGTTTTTTCAGTTGAATTATATTTAAAGCTCAGGGTAATCAACTGTTAAAAACATATTGTTCACATTTTTTTTTCAATAAATTAATGTTTTCAAAGTAAATGGATAATCGTTTTTAATAATAGTCATCTCAATTATTGACCCAAATAATCGAGATTATGATTTTTGCCATAATCGAGCAGCCCTACTGTGAGATACATCGGTGTCACATTTGAAGTCATAGTGAAGTTTAATACGACTGAACATAAGCCGTAGACCCTGATTTCAGGTTTTAAAAAAAAAAACGATTTCTTGATTAATTTGTTTTAGATTTAAAGAAACACAACAAAACAACAATGCTAAAATAATGATAATATATATATATATGTTCTTTTAAGTGTAAAGTGAAATAATGACTTAATAATATCCTGATGATTCAAAATAACCTTAAAACTCTTATGGCCATAATACATTGTGCTGCCCCTTTTAGAGGGCCTGCAAAGGGTTTTGGGTTTTGCACTGTGTCCATAAATGCTTGCCGTAGTTTCCTGTTTCTGGCTGTCTATGGAGCACATGGGTTGTTTCCTGTCAACTAAATCCTTGCTCAAATCCTAGGGTCTTTATGTCTGTAAGTACCATTCCATATATTGTCCGTGTATACTTAGTTGCACATTTAAATTGATTATATGCAAACATGAAGAACAATGAATGATGCTAAACTTGTTAGCCTGTGAACAGCAGTGGAAATGTTTGTAGTATTTATGCTAACAGGTACTCTGTTGTTTGGAATGTTTGTTTTTGTCTTGTTTCATTGTTTATTTAGTGTTTAATGTGACAACGTCTCATGACTTTGGGTTTTGTTTATATTTCAGTTTTACAAAAATGGAAATGAAAAATGGAAATGAAAATGGAACTTAATCAGTAAACATCCAAAACTGAGCTGCTGTCTCCTGGGTGTTTATTTCCGTGTTAAGCTATCTGCCAAGCCTGCAATCCGAAAAGTATTCTTGCGAGGGCAGAATCAATCTGTAGGGTGATTTTATATGAATAAAATCACCCTACTCTTACAAACATTTATTTTGCATCAAAAATATTACATCTTTTTTTTGTGAACATCTTCTTTGTAAAAAATCTTAAATGTATAATCATTCGGCCACCTGCTTCCATAAAGGATAATTAAATAAGACATAGCAACACTGTGAGTCGGATCTTTCCTACGGGGCCTATAAGATAGAAACCTTTTTCAAATGAGTCATTTAGATATTATTGATTATGGAGATCATTCATTCACAACAATCTACTTATTGTATGCCCATCAGAGAATATCCTATTGTGCTGACTGAGTTCTAATAGTTCATGTTTGTCTCTGTCACAGTGGTGCGCTCTAAATGCCCGTCGTATGTAGGGACTACTGGGATCATCGTCCAAGAATTCAAACACGTCTTCAAGATCATCACCAGAGAAGACAAACTGAAAGGTAAGACTCACGAAAACAGGACACAATCATCACAATCATTTTGCTTTCCAGTCGTCTGTCCCTCCATCATATTCTTAGTTGTTTTTAACTATGGTCCACCATGTCAGACTTGTCACAATACAATATAATGTTCTACAAAAATATGGTGAAGCTGGTTACAGATTGTTTTTATTCTCTGTGTGACAGTGATCCCCAAGAGGAACAGCGTCTTCTCAGTGGAGATCAACGGCTTCGTGTCCCACATCTACGGGAGCAAGTTTGAGCAGCGAGCCAGTGAACGCTCAGCCAAGAAGTTTAAAGTGAGAGGAACCATCGACCTTTGAGGAGTCAGTGACCATAACAGACATGACACACACTGCCCTCTGTAGGCAGTCAGAGGAACCATCGACCTGTGAGGAGTCAGTGACCATCACAGACATGACACACACTGCCCTCTGTAGGCAGTCAGAGGAACCATCGACCTGTGAGGAGCCAGTGACCATCAGAGACATGACTCACACTCTGCCTCGTACTGCCCTCTGTAGGCAGTCAGGAGAACTGCAACAACAATGGCACATTTAGCAAGTGCATTGTGGTCTTTTATTGTTTGTGGAACCATACCTTTTTTTTGTATTTTGAAGGGATCCCTGCTGACTCTGCTCTGTATTCTTTATAGTTACACATGGTGAGGACTGAAAAGCCACTAACTCAGTTAGATCATGTTTTCTGTGTGTGAGAAAATAACTCTGATGATGTCATCACTCATCTGCTTGGAGAATTCAAAGTAATAGGGATGTACCTATTACGGCCCTTTTCCCAATCCAAGTGGATTTAATATTGGGTATCTTTTGATTCAATATTGTAATGTTGATTAAATACATATCTGACACGGTAAAAATACAGACTGTCATTTGTAACCTATTGTATACCAGCTACTCGAACCAAGAACCAAAGCCTGGTATCATTTCTAATAGTATTTTGTGCATGCTTTTGCAAGCGCTGCTTCAGAGTGACAACAATGAAAAACATGTCAAAGTGGTTGAAAATATGTTAAAAATCCTCAAAGAAAAGCCTAACTAAAGCCTTTTTATTAGTTACATTTCAAATAAAGCCCAGTTACTTGTGTAGTGTTAGGCTCATTAGACTGTAAACCTGTAAACTATGGTATTTACTTTTCAGAGCTTTGTGTATAGTGCATGAGGAAATAAAAAGGGGAGGTTTTCTGTTGGACAGTAGTGTTTGTTTTCATTATGAAATGTATTTTGTACAGAATAGGATGAAGCTAAAGTGACGCAAATGTCAGTCTGCACCCTTTGTGTAACAGATCAAGTGAAGCTCTGTGGACTGTAAGGTGTATTGAACTAAATACAAATATGATAAACTCTGCCTCTCACACTGTTCTACAGAGAACCGGTTTAACCGTGTCTGACACTGCTGAGCTGCACATTTTTCTCCATTATATATATCCAAGACATGTTATCAGTGTGTTATTGTATCACAGCTGTGTGGCCTCATTACACACAGGTTTCACTCAGATCACATTACTGATCCAGACTTACAGGTTTGTTTCTGTTTGGAGCCGAATATAATCTGTAAGGAGGAGTTTATCATGTCATGATTACACACAATGTTGAAATGTCTTTCAGCTTGCACACGTAGAAATGCATCTTGGATCTTTTGTAAAATGAAAGCCTTCTCCAAAACAATCATTTATAAAACTAAAGTCACAGTATTATTAATAATAACTTGAATTGATATAGCGCCTTTCATAACCTCAAGGTCGCTTTACAAAGAAACATACAAGGACGAGACATAAAACAGGGGGCAGAAATGGAAGTGTAAGTGGGGGGGAGAGTGAGTTATTGTTGGAAGGCGATGTTGAACAGATGAGTTTTAAGGGTTGACTTGAAGATGTTGAGAGAAGGGGCGTTGCGGATTTCTGCAGGGAGGGAGTTCCAGAGGGGGGGGGCAGCGACACTGAAGGCACGGTCCCCGAAGGTGCGGAGGCGTGAATGGGGAATGGAGAGCAGGCCGGAGTCTGAGGATTGAAGGGTGCGGGGCGGGATGTAAGGGTGGAGGAGATCTGTGAGGGACTGAGGGGAGAGGGCACGGAGGGACTTGTAGGTGAGG